AGAGCGCGGCCAGCCTGCGTCCTGCGCGCGACCAGCGCGCGTCCTGCGCGCGGTGATGAGTGAGTTTTACTCGCTCATTTGGTATCGTTTTATACTTAATATCTAGTTGGTTTTGAGGTTTTTGTTTGTTTTTATGTGTGTTTTCATTCTTTATTTGAAGGATAGGTGGAAGTTTATGATTTGGAAGGTTTTGGACAAATTTCGGTGGAAAAAGGCAGCAATCATAGTGCTTAGGTGCCAATCTGTAGCGCCTTGGCACTGAGTTCTACAGAATCAGCAATTTGGGCAGAACTGGTGGCGCTTTGGCGCCAGTTTGTAGCGCCGCGGCACTGAAATCCGGCAGAATTTATGCACTGGGCAGAATGGGCAGCACTTAGGCGCCCATTACAGCGCCGCAGTGCCCAGGCATTTGACACAGTAGCACCGCAGTGCTAGAAACTCAGCGCCGCAGCGCTACAACGTGAGAAATTATGCGTTTTGAAGGCCAATCGCGAGAAAACTTACCCGTTTTGACCCTAATGCTCCGAAACATATAAAGAGATGATTCTAGGGCAATTAGAGGGAAGTTTTAGACTGTGGAATGACGGCTGGGTTTTGAGAGAGTATTCAAGAAAGAAAAGGAGAATTGGGACGGAGAAGAAGAACGGCTCAAATCCAAAGACGGAGACGCTTCAATTCAACTCCAAACTAGTTGTTTTCTTTCCTTTCCAATGATTAAGACTTTGTTTAGGAATTTATTTTGTTTAGAGATGAACTAATTCCTTTTTCTAGGGTTACGATGTAGCCGGATTATGTATGTTCAAATTCTCAATCTTATTTTTAAGTAATTGATGTTTAATCCATATATGCTGAGTATTTCAATTTATTCTTAATGCTTGTGATTATTTGGCCAACTATTACATGATTTTTTATTTGATTTGAGACTGAAAGGTGATGATTAAATAAGCTCTAAATTGAAATACCATGAGTTGTTCATAGGATAGAGATATCTATGATGCTTGTGCAATTCTTTTGAATTTCTTGCACTTAATGATTTTCAACAGGTTTAGAAGTCTGACAGAGATGTAGATTTTGCTTGTTGGATTAATATTATTGTTGCTTGAGAAAGAATAATAATTGCTTTAGAGAAATTGCTGTCAGTATAGGATTGAATGTTAATTTGCTTGAATTATGAGAATTTGAACATGATTAATTTGGTGAAATCGGAAACCCTAGAATCTTAATCTATTGAATTTTCATCCGTTGCTTAGCATTGTTTAATTTATTTAATTGTTTTAGTTTTGCTTTACTTAATTTTATAAACTCTCTTTTCAAGTATTCAAATAAAATTAGGGTTAATATAATTTCGGTAATTAGTAAACAACAATCCTCGTGGGACGATATTCTTATTCACTATTATATTACTTGATTGCGATAGCGTATACTTGCGTTACGATTTTTCACAATAAGTTTTTGGCGCCGTTGCCGGGGATTGTTTTGTTTTTACTAATATCGATACCAAATAACTCTAGTTTTACTTTGGATTTTATTTTGTTATTTATTTTGTTGTTCTTATTTTGTGTTCTGCAGGAATTTACTCTACGTGCATGCGAAAGTTTAGGAGCAGTATTCTACTTCCTCTTGATTCAAAAATTGAGCGTACTTGTCGAAGAAATAGAAAAGAGAAGAGAGAAAACGTCATTCTATCGCAAGATACTATGGCTGATCCTGAAGGGGCAATGAATGAGAACAATAATAATATACCACTGAACAATCCACCGGTGGTCAATCAGCCAATGGCTTTGCGAGATTATGCATTGCCACCAACTGTCGTTCAATCAGTGATAAGGAGGCCGGCTATTCAGGCGAATAATTTTGAATTAAAGCCAGTAATGCTGCCGATGATTCAAGCGATCCAATTTAATGGATTGCCGAATGAAGATCCTAATGCTCACATCGCAAATTTTCTGGAGATTTGCGATACTGTCAAATACAATGGAGTCAATGATGAAGCTCTTCGTCTTCGTTTGTTTCCTTTCTCTTTGAGAGATAAAGCAAAAAATTGGTTGAACTCACTGCCGCCAAATTTGATCACTAATTGGGAAGAATTAGTTCAGAAGTTCCTTTCTAAGTTCTTCCCACCGGCTAAAACAGTGAAGATGCGCAATGAGATCAATAATTTTGCTCAATATGAAGGTGAAACACTATATGAAGCATGGGAGAGATACGAGGAACTGCTGAGAAGATGTCCTCATCATGGTCTACCTAAATGGATGCAAGTCCATAATTTTTATAATGGATTGAGTGGCACTACAAGAACTCTAATTGATGCATCAGCAGGAGGAGCATTAATGAAGAAAACTGAAGATGAGGCATATGAGTTGCTAGAAGATATGGCGACCAATAATTACCAGTGGCCTAGTGAAAGAAGCATACGAAAGAAGACAGCTGGACTACATGAAGTTGATGCCATTACTAATTTGACTGCCCAAATTGCTTCTCTTTCCAAACAATTACAGAGTACTCAATTGATAGCCAATGCCATCCAAACATCCTCTCCAGTGTGTGAGTTTTGTAGCGGATCTCACCAAAGTTCTGAGTGTCAAGCGGACAACCCATTTACGCAGGCACAAATGGAACATGCTCAATATGTGGGGAATTACACTAGACAGCAGAACAATCCGTACTCTAACTGTTGGTTGACCGAATCGAATCCGGATGCGGAAGCGCGGTGGTGCGGTGGGGAAGAGGCGGATCGTGTATAACAAAAATTTTCATAAAACTTTTGAGATACTCTATAGATTATATTAATTTATGCACGAATAAATTAATCTCATTAATTCATTTATCAAGAACTCAATCAGGAAAAATATCTAGAAGCAGACTCGGATGATAACTTGAGTTCTTTGACCACGAACAGTCCTTGCTCCAATCTTTGTGTTTAGAAAACCAATGTCTTCCACGTCAATTCCTAGAATCTACGAAGACATGTGTGTGGGCACACATGAGACAAAACGGGTTACAATAAACACTCGAATTTCCACAAACACCATCGCATGCACAATGTGGAATTTTTAGAGAAAAATTTTTCCTTCCTTTTTCTCTTGAGAATTTCGGCCAGCCTTAACCCTTAGGGCTGAAAAATTGTTTCCAAAATTTCTAGAGAAATTTCGGCTACCTCTAAAATTAGGGCAAAAAACCATTCCGAAAATTGTCTCAAAAATAGTATTTATAGAGTAGAAGTCAAACTTCTAGAAGGAATCTAATCTCTATCTCCAATTTGAATTTCGAACCAAAATTCTCCTCTATCCCTTATTCCTTGTGGCCGGCCATGCTAGGGATTCCTATCCCTATGTGTGGCGCTAATACTGGATAGGGAAGGAAGAGAAAATCATCCTTTATCCTGTAGTCCAATTTTATTTCAAATTCAAATTCGAATTTAAGTCAAACTTAAATTAATTTGAATTTCTAAATTAAACAACTTATCTAATAAGTTTAAATGGATAAATCTAGATGTGTTCAAATT